CTCGGACTCCGGGGTGACGAAGACGCTGCTCTGTACTTTCCTGGCCAAGATCTCCTCAGCTTCCTGCAGCAAAGGTCGCCATTTGTCCTCCTGCTTGTTGACATCGACGAACCATGCTGCGCTGGCATTCTTGACCTTATAGTCCTCATAGGTGACCGTGCCAAAGTCCTCAAGCTCGACCACTCGCCAGTAAGCTCTGCAGATCGCATCTCCCAGAGCCGGTGGATAGCATTGAGATGCACGGGTGTTCGAACCTTCCACCAGTTCATGCTGGTGGCTGCGGTCGCACTGAAGGTCCACCTCCTGGATGAAGTACTCGTGGGCGGCGATGAAACGAACTCTCTGGCATGCCTCGCTTGCCTCGCAGCCCAAACATGCACAAGCATGATGTGGTCTCATACCACCCTTCTCTCAAGCGAAGGATCTCGGGCTGTGATTGTGAGGCTGCAGATGCTGGGTTCTCTGAGACGGCGTGTCCGCCGCGGCTGACCTGCGAAGCAATATGTCCTCGGTCAGCTTCAGGAAAGGTCGATCTTCTTCGCGAAGTCGTGCAAGTTCTTCTTCTCGACCTTGGTAGTTGATGTTGGAGTTGAGGGTGCTCCAAACCGTACATGGATACTCCACGATGGCCAAGCGGGGGTTGGCCTTGTCCAACATCTGCGTGAGCCAGCGTCTGGCCTGCCTTTTTCGCAAGTCGCAGCCATAGCGAATGTCGACCGGCTGCAACACCTTCATTCGCCACATAGTACTGCCTCTCATACTGACCATTGAAGTGCCACCGAACACCTCCACCAGGTCGAACTTGAAGCGCTTCCGGGGCCAACGGCCTTTCTTCATGCGCTCTTCGATGAGCTTCTTTTGTTATTTGGAGGTCGCTAGGGCCTGTCGTGCCATGTGCTTCATTCTCTTCTGCTGTCCAGGCTTGAGCTTCACCGCCTCATCGTTCAGCCGTCGAACTCCTCCATGTGGGACTCCTCCTTGTTGCGATGAGGCATCCTGCCTTGCGTCCTCGGACCTGAAGCTCTTGCCGTCTTCACCTCCTGAACGTCCTCCTCGCTTGTCACCTCCACCATCTCCGCGTCGTCCCACTCCTCCAGGTTGTAGACCTGTGGCTTGATCTTCTCCGCCTTGGGCTTGATGGGACGCTCGGGTTTCGAGGGCGCTGCCTTCGAAGTCGCTCGTCGCGGAGGTTGGTAGGTGATCCCATAGGCTGCCTCCATAGATGTTGGAGGTGAGGAAGATGAGTAGACAGAGGATTTTGAAGAAGAAGCTCTGCGGGTTGCGGCGCCCTTCATGACCTTGCCTCCTGGCTTGTCCCGAATGCCCACGTAGATCTTGTACGTGGTCACCATCTCCTGGCTGATCGGCACCGTGTAGTCGATGCCCCGCCACACGCTCCCACAAGTGATGCACTCCAAGAACTTGCCATGGGCGTTTCCATAGCGACGACCATGTTCCACCAGATGTGGGCAGTTGTGTGGCTCCTCCTGATACTTCAGGTTCAGGGCATAGGCCGTCTGTCCCTTCGCCTTCGTAGAAGCAGGAGGTAGAGCTGGAGGTAGGTCCATCGCCAAGGTGGTCTCCTCGTCGAGGATCGCCTCCATGTAGCCCATGAGAGCTGGTGCGCGGAACTTGCACTCCCGCACCACCTTGTTCGCGTTCGCCCATCGCTGCAGCACCGCGTAGAGCTTCATGAGCCGCTCCACCAGCAGCCGCCATAGCTGAGCAGCTTTGCGGCGTCGGTCCGATGGGGCCTTCCTCATAGGCAGCTCGTGCGGGCGCGCTGGAACCGAAGTTGCTGACATTCGGAAATTCCTTTTGCGACGAAGTGAACCGTTGATCACGACAACTCAGCGGCAGATCTGGAGGTTTGATGTGGGGCGCAAAAGATCTTTGAAGCCTCTTAGTGACAGTTTCCTTCAAAGACTTCGGGCGCAAAGTTCTCGACTTGCCGGCGATCTCGATGTTGACCCCGACTTGGCGATGTGCAGGTGTGGACGCCACCATTTGGACACGAGGTTCACAGTCCAAACCAACCAAAACCGTGTAGCCAGTCCAGGGCTCTTCTTCAACCTTCTGATCCCAGGTGTCCACGATTGGTTCAGGGGCTCCGTCTTTGTACGTGACCCTTACCATCTGCAGTTCGCGTGGTTCGGGCCCATCTACTACATCTTGAGGATGAAACCTGGCGGTTCTTGGTCGACGGTGCCTCCGGATGTAGAGCAGGGGGTTGTCCATGTTGTACTCCCAAACATCACCGTGTACCGTACAGGGATGTAGACCATAGATATCACCAGTTGCCAAAGGGTCATCCTCAGGGTTGTAGATGTGGGTGGTTTTTGGCGCTGCAGACTCCATATACGCTTTTCCTGTGAGCCAGCGCATCGAGTCCAGGTCGAAGGTCTTCTCATCCTCCGTGGCCGACAAGCAGTCCCAAACTGATCCACTCCTCGGAGGTGGAGTGACTCCAAGGATCTCGAAGGCCTCGCGGACGGCCTCAGGCGCCGTCGCAGTGCGCGCCACGGGCTTCAACTTGCGGGACTCGATCTGCTCCTTGACCTGCGCAGTGGCCGTGAACACATCCAAGGGACGTGTCGCAGGCGTTAGTCCTGCCTGCTCCGGTGGAACATCGCCAGAGGATCCGGCGTGTTCGGATGCCTTGCGCTTGACGGCGTTCACCGTCTTGACCACATGCTTGGCCTCCTCGTAGTCCAACTGGGGAAAGGCCTCGGCCGCGGTCTGCTTCTTGGAGACGGAAACCTTCTCATCGTCCCAGGTCTGGTACTTGTTGGTGACCCAGGCCTCATTGGTGTCCGGCTCCCATTCATGCCAATCGTCGTATGGGTAGTCCTGCTGGAAGTAGGCCTCGTACTGCTCGGTGTCCTCAAAGTCCACGTTCACAGTCTCGTGGGCCTTCTTGGCAGGATTCTTGCACTGCGTGTCACCTCGCCAGTGGCACATCTCGCCACAGTCGGCGCAAGAGGTGACCTGCTTCAGCTGCTCCAAAGACATCCCACGGGCCTTTCCAGACCCTTTGCCTTTTGACTTGCCTCCTGAGCCTTTCCCAGCCTTGCCACTGTCTTTCGACTTGCCACCACCTTTCGAGCCCTTCTTGCCGCCCTTGGACTTGTTCACGTAGAAGCCACGGGCTTTGACTGTTTTTGCAAGGCGTGCTCGATTCTCTCGATGGGTGGCGTAGACTTCGTGAAGCTCTCTGGCCAGGTTCTCGATCAGGCAAGTAGTCGGGGACCTCATCGGCGAGCTTCTGGACGGGGTCCTCGTAGAAGAGCCAGTCCTCGATGTCCATGTCGGGCTGGATGTAGTCGTTGGAAGTATTGGACTCTTCCCAAACGCCCTGTGCCTCGTGCGCTGACCTACCCTTTCCGCCACCATAGCCCTTGAAGCCACCATCACGACGTTGCGACACCAGCGTCGTGGGGTAGAGGAGCTCGATCGCGGTCTTCATCTTCTTCCAGTCGTAGTCTCCAGAGGTCCTCAAGAGCAAGTTCGCCTGACGTTCCATGGAGCTTCCGCTGCTCGAAGAACTGGTAGACAAGGATCTCATCGGGGATCGCGAGGCCTGCTTCTCGGCGAAGGCGTGCCGACTTGTCCATGTGGTCGACGAGCTCGGTGAGGGTCCAGCTCCTGTCGACCTGGAGCTTGAAGAACGACTTCATGGCCGATCCGACCTTATGCATCCGGCGCTCATCAAACTTCTCGCGAAGCACCTGGATGAGCACTCTCCAGCCGCCGGGGACGCCGAAGGTCTTGGCCGGGATGTCCTCCAAGTACTCGGCCGCGTCCGCTTCAAGGGCCGAGTGCAAGCGAAGGCCGATCTCCTCGTCGCCAATGATGTGCTTGGCGATCTCCACAAAGCTGTCCACCTTCTGAAGCCAATGACGAAAGGCTTTGGGGTTCTTCTTCACTTCACCGGAAAACGCCGGTGGAGGCGGAAGATTGCCTCGAGGTCGATGTCGTCCAGGTTCGTCCACGGAGGTCTTGGATCTCGTGGACTTGGCTGACTTCGGAGAATCTCTCCCCGAGCCAGCATGCTGCGAGCCGGATTGAGAAGGGGTCTTCTCACCAGGCTCTCCATCAGCGGGACCGTGGTCATCGGAGCGAGGTCCGTTGCGTCCAAGGCGTCGACGTTGTAGAGGAGCCCTGCCATAGAGCTCGTCCATCTCGCCATCGTCCTGGTAGTGGTCCTCGAACGGGTCTCGGTCCAGCTCTTCAACCAGGACGTCATCGTCCTCTTCCTGTGGTGCTCCGGCGCCAGGAGGTCCAGCTCCAAGAACACCAGGATGTAGATCTGGCGTAGTGCCATCGCCAGGCGGCCGCAGCACGTCAGCTGCTAGCGGCATGGCGGTCGAAGGATAGGGAGCGAGCACGGGTTCGGCTCGCTCCGCTACCAATGCAAACTCGGGGATTCACACCCGTGGAAAATGGGGCATGTCGGTGCGGCTGCTCACGCACAGTGTTTGATCCGCTCAAGGGCCCTCGGTCGTGAGGGTTTCAGTGAAAAGGGTCCATGACCTATGATGCATGCCAGCTTTGCAATACTATGAGATACATGCTGCTAAACTCATAACATGAGAACTGGTCTGTGCATCCTATACGTTGAAATACATCTGAGCGTTCCCATAATAGTACTGTAAGAGATCAGTTATTCATGTCTTGCAAAGGTGCACCTCTCAAATCATGAGATTTGTGCATCTCATAATGTGAGGTATGTTATTCATATTTCCAAGCATGATGTGCAAAAGTGCTAAACTCAGGGCTTGATTTAAACAAAGAAAAAAGGATGCACCTCACAAAATGAAGTTACCTTAAAATGACATAATCTCAAGATAACATCCTATTGGAAAAAAAAGAAACATCCTAAAAATGGGTTACTAACTAGAAGACTAATCCTGATTAATCTTGTAAAATCACATGCTCACAACAGTCCCTTCTCTTGAATATCTGTTGAGGTGACGCTCCAGGCTTTTTGAGCTCTGCACCAAATAGATACCACCAAGACATGTCACCTTGAACAGAAGGGGCGATAATGAAAAGTTATAAAGCCAGCTAGGCTTGAATCGAATTCCAAACAAGCTGTCTATATGACTATATATATAGTTGAATTAAGACACAAACAGTGCTATGTGTGACCAACTCTCATGAGCTGGATTACTTCAAGGCTCTGTCCGATTGCGGAACTTGAATTTAAGTGTTGTGAGTTTTGTCAGCAGTCTTCGGAGTCCTGCCGTCAGCCAACTGAGACCCAAGCAATGGACCCAATCAGGAGAGCCAGATTGGTCGCTGAACTGAAGACCTACGCTGTCAAGCCTACATCAACCAATCTCGCAGTACAACCTAAACCACAAAATGCCGAGGGCTCTACAACCTCTGGCGTTTGTTTATGTTGTGTGTTTCATGTCTTTATTAACCCGACCTAACCTGACCCCTCCAGATTGAAGCAAAGGCATCATTAGGAATAAAAATCAAAGAGTAAAGCTTTGCCAATCCCGAGGCGCACCGTGTGAACCCAGTCCGATGCCACTTCAGCTGTTGCCTGCAGGCTGCCGCATGGAAATAATCTCATGACAGGTTGGGCTGAGCTGATGATAGAACGTCGCCTCCATTCCCACTGGGGCAACTGCTTTTGAGCAAGGGACAAAGTCTGAAACGCTGACATGTCAACTGTATCGTTCTCTATGCACGCATATATCAAGGGCATGCAAGTGCTTGCAGCTTCAAGAGCATTCATCGGTTTTCTTATTCAAAGTGTGTGATCGCAAATCAGAAAGGTTCTTTCTGTCGGTGCTAAATATCTATATATATATATATGGTACCCCTCCCCAAAACCTACACCCTTTAAAAAAGGGGAGGTGGGGGGTACCAACAAATCTGAATCTGCAATGTGCATGTGGCATCTGATCAAAATGCTAAATGAACATCCTCCTACATCTGATCATATATATATGTATATATTTAGTGTGTATGTATATACTATATATAACTTTATTTGGAGCCTGCCAAGGAATTTGCAACCTTTGCTGCACATGATATTGCAAATTCCCTGGCAGGCTGAAAAAAAATATAACCTCAAAACCCCATAGTCACAAAACCCTGGCAGACTCAAAAAAATCTAAAGTTGGAGGATCTATGGGGACTCTGGGGGGTGGTACTTGTTTGAGCCTGCCACTGTTATTGCAAGGCGGGGTAGACCAAAAACTGCAAAAACACTGGCATGCTCAAAAAAAAATCTAAAAGAATAGTCACAAAACCCTTGCAGGCTCCAACAAATAGAAAACATATACAAAAACAAAAATCAAAAGTTTTAGGATCTATGGGGACTCTGGGGGGTTGTATGTGTTTTGCTTTTGTTGAGCCTGCAAGTGTTTTTGCAAGGTGGGGTAGACCAAAAATTGCAAATTCCGTGGCAGTCTCAAAAAAATAATTAATATATAGTCTATACGAAATATATATTTGATCAAATGTAGGAGGATGTTCATTTAGCATTTTGACAGATGCCACATGCACATTGCAGATTCAGATTTGTTGGTGCCCCCACCTCCCCAGGATACCCAAAAATGCAAACCAAGCTCTGGCAACAACATAGGCATTATAGCCAATGCCCACAATCCAAGACATAGGCTACCCAGAACTAGAGGCTGACAACTGTACATAAGTCACTGTGTGTGTTTCTTGCTGCTTTGCTTCAAGGTTCTTGTTCCATTCTGATCCTGTGGCCGGAAAGCATCATTTCCAAAAAGCCAAGCCCAAGAAAATCAAGGTATGCAACCCTAAAAGCAAACAAATCATCGGTGGAAACTTCCTGTCCAGCCACAGCCATCCGGACCCAATAACCTTAATCGCACCCATGTCGCATCTGCCAACTGCATCCAGCAGTAACTCATCCCTCCTAAACCAGTTTTTTCCTTAAAGCCTTGTATCCTACAGTGCACGTAGTCAGATCTCACACATCTTTGTGGTTGTCGCTGTCCAATTGTCCTTCAAATTACTGAACAAGGAAATACAGTACAATAAAATCCTTTGAGCATTGTTGTGCTCATGTGTTGAAAGTCTTGAGGAGGGCAAAATGCTGCGCAAAAGGCAAGGGGTGGGTCTGGCAGTTGGATGTGACTCCAACTTCGCGATTGGACTGGAAAAAGGATGATCCTAGAATATCCTAGACATGTTCAAACAGGATGCAACCTTTGAAGGATTCCGATTCATCTCTCCAGGTTGATTGCGCAATAAAGGTATAATCAAGTAATTTGTATCACAAGTGTGGGTGCGGCCAGCAGTCTGTCTTATCGTTAAAATGCCCTGCCTGTATCGCCGCGAGCATCTGGGCTCGCTTCTCCGCCTGCTCTGCTTGCATCATCCGGGTGTTAACCTCAATGCTTGCTGCAGAACTAATAGTTATATACAATAGCAGAAAGGGATCATTGCATAAACTTCAACAAACCTAAACCTGTGCTGCCAAAGTGCATCCTCGTTCTCTCTGGCTGCTTTGATCTTGCCTGCAGGGAGAAACTTCGACCGGACCCGGCGCTCCCCTCCGTTTGCTCGCCTTCCTCCTCAATTTTGGCCCTCTCAACGGCCTGCAAAATCAAGGAATCAAGGCACCTATGGTTCTTTCCCATCAAAATGAAGCCACAAAGATCTGACCTCCTGCAGCCCTATCTCTGCTCGGCGCTCATCAGACTTGAGGCGAAGTTCCAACAGCTCCTTCAGTTCACCAGCTTTCAAGACCCTCAAATACTGATGAACTTCAATATCTGTTCTCACTATCAACTTGCTCACTATTGGCTCACATAAGAAAAAGACGGATTGTTTAAGTGCGCTTCATTGCTTCATTGAAAAAGTGTGGCCCAAAAAGTAGGTGTGCTACAGTTGCTCAGCAAAATCACACACCAAGGGCTACAGTGAGGCAGGAACCAACAGCACTTTCTTGTAGTCGTTCAATTAGACCTGCGACAAAAATTTGACTTTTTTGGCAGGTCCTTCTCATCTTTGTGCTTCTGCTGTTGCTGCCGGAGGTTTGACCTTAGAGCTTCAGTTCTACTTTCCGTCTGGCTCCAAGAGATACTTGCGCTTGGTCCGTTATTGGGTATTCACTCCACGCGCATGACAACTGTCAATGAATCGTGTCAACACAGCATGAATACTGTCTCCTCACGGCTTCAACAGCAAAATTGCAAAACGAGAGCCAAGCTCCTCCTGTTGGCTAAGAAGCTCCAGATCCGCGGCCTACCAGCTGTGAGCATTGGAGAAATCTTTGCCTAAGACCCTAGTGGAATGGGGTGACGGTGCCGTGACCAAGCCGTTGTCAACTGACCGAACAGCAGAACCGTTCGCTAGAGCCATATACGAGCCCAAAAAGGCCGCTAGGTCCTCATTACGTCACTATGTCTTCACCTTCAACAAAAGCAAAAGGGTTGCGAGTGCAGCTCAGTCAGAGCACAACTGCTGTTGCTCTGGATCTGGGGATGGATCGAAACTCTTGTTCTCTGAAGAAATTTTGTCAATCTCCCCATGTGCATCCTCAAAGTTCAAAATTAGCAAAGCCAATGGGAAGCAATACTGCGGTATGCTATATCGCTTTATCGGAGTGGTGCTCACGGGCTCATGAGCGACTTACTTGGCCTTCTTCTGCGCCGTTTCAAATGCAACCCGCTCGTGGTGCTTCTGCCTTGACAAAATGCTTTTCTTTCCAAACCCCGACAGTCTGGAACCTTTGTCTTTAGATACTGTATATAGTTGTCCTTTTGATAGCCACTAATCAAGGGCAACATGACACCAATATGTCCGGTACGATTGTACAGTATCATGAGTTGGTGCTATTGTAGTCCGTGTCATGCTAATGCTCATGCTGTTTTCCGTTGAGAAAGAGGTCAAAATGAAGACATATGCGCACGCTGAGGTACAAGCGTACTGTACTCATCCTTTTTCCGCTCCTCCTAGGAAAAGCAAGGGAGCATGCAACAGCTTGTCCTTGAGAGTCTCAAGCAGTTCAAGAATGTGTTCAACAACAAACAGGAAACTTGTGGTGTTTTGTGCAATCAAGCACATTATTCTTTTGTGGCTTTCAGAAGCGTTCAGCAATGTTTTGTCCAAAAGGCGCCTCTCCACGGAGAGTGATGGTCTTCTGCTCTTCCTCCCACCTTGAAAGCCACAAAAATTATAGGACCGGATAACCCCACATGGGAACAACTTCGAAAGATTGAAGCTGCAGACATAAAGTGCTGAAGAGTGAGCATGGGGAAGAGACAGGCGAGACAAATAGAATGCGTAAGGGTCGGTGTGTGTAGGTGAGGTGTGCGTTTGATTGTAGGTGCTTGTCCGTGAGTGTGTATGAGTGTGTGGGTGGATGTATGCTGTATGACGTTTGTGTGCATGTAGGTGTTTGTAAGGTGTGTGTTTGTGTGTATGTGTCTGTTCATCAGTGTGTATCTGTGTGTATCCGTTTGTGTGTATCTCGTCAGAGAGTCGGTCGTCGGAGACGAACTGGTCCAAGATCACCGACCGTAGAAGCAAACGAAAAAAAAAGAACAAAAAAACACATCTGCCTACACTCCTTATTTCCAGGCACTACAACTAATGTAGCTTCCAAAAAACATCATCTAGCTACACTCCTTATTTCCTGGTGTATCATTGGTGTATCAGCAAAAAAATCATCAACTCACAGCTTACCTTACATATCCGTTCTCCAATACAAACCACACAATAAGACATTGTCCAAACCGAACCATGCATAGAGCACCAAACCCTTCTCAGAACCCATGCTCCTGTGAGTGGGTTCATCGGCGCGAGCAGAGACTGCTGGAAAAGCGCAGTTTCGATCAACAACCAAGCCGCATCTGCAGCATCAGCATTTTCACCGACCGGAAACAAAGTACTTCTGGCGCAATACATCTGATGGAGCAGTTCGAAAGGAGCCACGTAGTCAAACTCTTTACTCCCCAGCTTTTCCATGGCTTCCCTCAGCAGCCGTCTCAGCGGTCCTTTCTCACGTGCCGGATCCAGAATATCAGCGGCCAAAGGCCCGCAATGAAGTAAGCATTGCACGACCGAATTTAGCCAACAGCTGTTGCCCAGATTCCTCAAGCCACTGATGGTTGCAAGCTTCTCCGAGCCAGAAGTACCCACTGGACGGCTTCCAGAATCCAAGCGCCAAGGTAAGCCCATTTCACTGAGCCACCGAGCATCCGCTCTCGCAGCCAGATTCTCTGCAAGCTGATGCTCCGAACCCAAAAGCTGGCAGGCGCGCACGATACCAGCATTCTCTGCGCTCCGCTCCTGTGCTCTGTACTTGTCGCGCTGTCTGCGCGACAAAGACATAACGTCCAGACGACCCAAGCAGACCTTCAAATGCTGCACTGCGAAATCATCCGATGGAGCGCTCCCTTCTGTACCCAATTCTTGCAAGACACGGCCGACTGCATCCTCTGACTCGCGAGAGGCAGCAACCACACGACCAACATCTGCATCAGCCGTGTTCTTGTCCTTTCTGGTGGGTCCATAACGTCGGCACTTCCCTCTTCCATATCGCACACGCCAGCCGTTGCTGCGTTTTTCCAACGCTGCAAGAGGTGTGTTGTCTGACGTTGCCAGGCTGCAACGCACGTCTTCCAGCGCCTCGAGTGAGACAGCAGCCGCTGCATCAAAGCGTCTCTGCTCCTCTTCAGCAACTTCCTTACTTGTCCGCCATGGTCCTGAAACAAAAGCACCACCCTTCTTCTTCCGGGCGCGCCAGCGAGTCCCATGGCATTCCAATGGCATGCTTTCGAAAAAGCAATAGAATTGGGAAAAAGGTTTGTTTATCATTCTCTCGTCTGCCAACCAACCCATCACTTGATAGCAAACTTTCACTAGGTTATGTGTTTCTTCGCCCAGACGTACTGATGATTTTCTTAAACATATACTCAACCCATGCTCCAAAAACTTTCAGGCACAGTCAGCAGGAAGCCTCGAGCGCCAGAAAATCTCCAAAGTTCCGATGTGATGTGACATGCAACCTCTTCTAGTCTCTGTGACTTGACGTGCTAATGCATTTCTTAAACATATACTCAACCCATGCTCCAAAGACTTTCAGGCACAGTCAACAAGAAGCCTCGAGCGCCAGAAAATCTCCAAAATTCCGATGCGATGTGACATGTCACATCTTCTAGTGTCTGTGAATTGCGCTGCACCATATACCACGATACCAACGCGTAACGTGAAGTCATGTACTTCTAGTGCGACTGTGTTTAGCCGGAAGTCTGACTTTCACTGCTTCGCTACAAGCCAAAAAAAGGCACCATATCAATCCGACGCAACTCCGAACCTTCAGTCACAATCCAGCAAATGAACGTCGTGGCAAAACACAGCCAACTTCCGCTTCAGACTCACGGGAGGCACCGGCCACAAGGCGAACATCTGCTTCCGACTATCTCCGATATGTTTAGAAACGTATGCCATACTGAAAACTACTGCATCAGTCTGTGAAGTACATCCGTAACAGACCATAGCATCAATGCCAACTCAAATAAAACAGCTTATCAATGCCAACTCAAATAAAACAGCTTACCCATCTTCGATATTGAACACCTGGACTTCACTTGATGTTGAGTGACTCGCACTGAGCGCCGAGCAAACTCCACTGCCGAGGATCCGATGGAGTCACGAAATAGCCA